GTTTTTCCTCCCATCTTGCTCTATGTCCTGACAACTTGGCTTTTTGACCAGTGAGAAGATTCTCCTTGGTCTCCACCATCTGGAAGGTGAATTTTCCAGAGTGCACCTTGGTGGCCAAATAGGCTAGATTCTGAGCACTCTCTGTCTGGCTGTGCCAAGCTCTCAGGGGAGTTTGTCATAAAGGGTCCAGTCCATAAAGGGCCTTTGTCATCTCAACCTTCCATATTCGTTAGTCCTGGAAAAATCCCATTCCAGTAGTGCCTGCCCAGTGTCACAGATTAGAGGGTCTGTGACTGGAGGTGCCCCATGCACTTGTGGGAGACCGGAGACACCATTTTCACTACACCACCTTTACCACCTGTGCACTGAAGGTTTTTACTCTCTCTGACTACTTTGGGGAGTGAACGCTTTGGATCATCAGGGCTACATCCTCTGTACCATCCCCAGGGATGCCTCTGTGTCCATGGTAAAGATTTATTCTAAACCTGGAAAGTTACCTCCAGGCCTTTCCTTAAAAAGGCTCATTGGATTGAGTCACTATTGGAATAAATATACAAATGGAGACCCTCCTCATCAATGGCCAGACGATGGGTCTTTTAAATTGGAAAAAGTTCATATTTGAAAACCATTTGAGAGCCCTCTCATCACAAGCAGCTGCCTTACTGGTATTTATGAGAAGATCAAATTGAAAAGAAAACCCCCCAAAATATAACGGATACCCTTAGAGAATCTCTTAATAAAATGAAAGACCAGAAGTCAGACTTAGGACAAAGAATAAGAAGCAAATTTAATGAAAATTTCCCTTCTCCTCCCTCCTATACACCCTATATGCCCAACTCCGTGTCTCTGACTCCCCAGAAGATCTCTTGGATCTCTGGGCCCCTGGTTTCCAATCCTCCTCTCAAGACTTAGCTCCTCAGTCAGTTCGATCTCCACCCAATTTTTAAACCTGCCTCTATCCCTGACTGATATTGTTAACTCTCGGGCAAATGCCCCACAATATGAAAAGACAATTGGATACAAGAGGGTGCCAAACAATGATCACGTGGGTTAGACACTGGGCCAAGGGGCTTCCGATAGCTCCTTTTCCTTTGACTTTTTGGCTTGCACTTATCTCCCTCCAAATGGGACATATGCACAGATGGGGGATAGTTAAGGAACTAAAAGACAATTGGTATTCCCTGGCATCCACAAAATTTCTGATCCAGTTATTTCCCTGTGCACCACTTGCCAACCTCACCAAGTTTCTGGAGACATCAGTGTACCCCAGGAAGTCCTCCCAGGCCCACACTGCCCTGTGCGGTGCTCCAAATGGGCTTTACAGCCTTGCCCCAGCTTTAGGCTGTTCTCACTGTTTGGTCATCGTCTGCATGGTTAGTGGAGGCACTGAGTGCTATCCGACTAGACGTGCAGAGGCCACAACAGTGGGACAGAAATTAACAACTGCAGCTGTTCCTTGTTCCAGCTTCCTTTACGGATTGAAGCAGAGCGAGGAGCTCCCTGTACAGCAGAGGTAACCACGTGCTTGAAGAAACTCTGGGGCACTCATTAAAATTTCATACCCCACATCATCCTCAATCATCAGGGCAAGTGGAACACAAAAATCTAGACATCAAAAGGACTTCAGGAAGCTCTGTCAAGAAACTGGACTTAAATGGTCAGAAGCTCTGTCATTGGTCCTTATAAAGATCCGAAATACTCCAAATAGGAGACATGGATTAACTCCTTTTGAAATAGTTTGTGGTTGCCTGATGCCTACTGGCACCTCTAAACCTTCCATTCCTGGATTAAGTGAATTTTATGGGAACTTAAGTGAAAAAATTTGATGCTATGACTAGCTATAGACAAAAATTAACTAGTCTCCTTGAAGCATATCATCAACAGGTAAAAGAGGCATGGCCCCCACCTTGTGACAAGCCTTGCCATCCCTGTGGACCAGGAGATTGGGTGTCCATCCAGTCCTTTAGAAGAAAATATGAGTGGTCACCTTGCTTGGGAGGACATTATGAAGTCCTACTGACCACCGACACTGCCTTAAAAATAAAGGAAAAATCTTCCTGGATCCATGAAAGCCACACCAAAGTAGACCCAGAACATCGCTCTCAGGACAACTGAGAGACAGTTCCTACAGGTGACCTTAAACTAAGGATTTCTAGGCCCCAGTAGCAGTTGACCTTGCAAAGTAGACAGCTTCCCCCAAGATCATGGATGAAGGAAACTCGCTTTCACCTAGTTTTCCCCCTTGCTTTTAAAACTCCCTACACACACACACACACACACACACACACACCCCTTTTCTTATTTATTTATTTTTTTTAAAGATTTTATTATTTCCTTTTTCTCCCCAAAGCCCCCCGGTACATAGTTGTATATTCTTCGTTGTGGGTTCTTCTAGTTGTGGCATGTGGGACGCTGCCTCAGCGTGGTCTGATGAGCAGTGCCATGTCCACGCCCAGGATTCGAACCAACGAAACACTGGGCCGCCTGCAGCGGAGCGCGCGAACTTAACCACTCGGCCACGGGGCCAGCCCCCCCTTTTCTTATTAATGAATACATATATTCCTTTTAGTCATTTACTCCAAAAGCCGACTAGAGAGCACTGGTCTCTATCTGTCCACTCCCCACCTCTAAGTTTCCACTATGCACTCTTTTCCAATCTGTGTCTTGCTCTCACTAACCCTCTCTTTCTCACTAGGTCGAGCACAGATCAAACACACCTTATGCCAGTTTACCAAACCCAAGCCACGCTAACTAGTCAGTCTGACTGTTGGTTATGTCGACAGCTAGAGAGCACAGAAGAACCTGAACTGGCTTCTGTTCCTGCTGATGTGAACACCTGGTGGACTAAGAATGGAAGATGGATGAATGACAGGGTATGGTGTCCACAACAAGGAAGACATCACTCTGCCTCTTCTCCTGGTGAGTCATTTGGGCCCCAGAAAACCTCTATAGAAGATCCAGGACTGTCCTTTGCCCAGATAAAGACAATAGGTGAAAATTATTCCCTTTGCACTGAAAGTAAACATGACACTGGACCTTTCCTGGGTGACACAGCAGGACAATATTGCAATCAAACTCTGTGGTTTGATTCCACAGGTGGCATCTTCAAACCTCTCAAGGAAATTGTAAGTCACTCTAACACTACTCCTTTTGGCACAAACATTTGCCAAATCACCCAATTATCTGGCTGGCTTACAAGACAACCTTGTCCAACTTGGTTATTGCAGCTGCCTGCATGGTTAAGCTGCCCAATACCATAAACTATATATGGGTGGATTCAAACTCTGAACTCACATGGTCAGGTGACAGGACCAGGCTTTACAGCTGCCCGAATCAGGCTGCAGGCCTCCTGTACCAGCCATTCTGCATCTGTTCTGCTCCCCCAGATTGACAGGAGCACATGGAAAATGGAGATGTTCAGGCACTAACAGTACCAGTGGCAAAGGTCATGGAATACTCTGGACCCTGGGAGCTACAGGCTCAGCTCTAACCTTGTCTGTAAACCATACCGGTCTTTTTATTTTATGTGGCGACAAAGCATACAAAGGGCTCCCAGCTAATTGGCCAGGATGATGTGGACTTAGATACTTGACCCCTTCTATCACCAGATACTCCACACTAAATGCCAGCCACATTGCAAGCTTGAGCTCCTTTGTTCATAAGATTGTGCCACATGAACGTGCCAGTTGAGATTATAGAGAATCCCCTTGTGTGTCACACCTCTAAGTTCTTTTCAGCATCGAGAGTCTTATTCCCCAGCTTTGGAAATTACAAGCTGTAAAAGGCGATCTGAAATCTCTCCATGGTGATGGAACAAGAGTTCAACAGCACCACGCAAACTTTGAAAATACTCCAGTTGGAGATTAACAGCCTAGTCTCTGTGGGCCCCCACAATCAACCTGCTCTGGACACACTGACGGCTCAGCAAGGAGGAGCTTGTGCAATCACTGGTGAAAAACGTTGCTTTTATGCGAACCAAACCAGGCAAGTGGTATCTAGCTTACATCTGTTAAAAGAGAAGATTCACATTTTCCATCAGATGAATGAGGCTCACCCATTTCATTGGACTGACTCATTCCTAGGATTGGGAACTGGCTTAATGGCACGTGAGGAGATGGGCTCCCATCCCTTCCTATCTGCTTGTTCATCTTCATTCTAATCCATGTTCTTTTCTCCCTTCCAGATTTCTTCCATTCAGCTACTAACTCATTTTCTCTCTCCACAGTCACCAGCTCAGCTTTCAATATGTGAACCTTCCAGGGAAGTGTCAGAGACGGCAATTGACGTGGCTCAGGCCAGGCCACCCCAAGATGTGCCACTCTGGTAACTGGATTATTTTGAGCTGAAGACAAGCAAGGCTCAGAACACTCTGAAAGAATATTTTACCCTCTCCCAAATTGCCTAAAAGACTTCAAGAGAGAAGGGCCTGTCCCAGGAAGGGGCTCTTACCATGGATAATTCTAGGTGTGGGGGCAGGAAGGCATCTAGCAAGGGACCTTTTACCAAAAGATCTCTTTTGGGTCCCATTGTCTACAGATGGCCGAGCAAACATTTGTTTACCAAATATGAACTCTTTTCATCTTCCTGTAAATTGCATTCTCCCCCTTTGGAGTCTCAGACCCCTATCTCCCTCTCTTTTGTCCAGAGGAACACAGATACCTCATTTTGCCTGACTGTCTTTGGAATTCTTCAGGCTTATGTGAGTTCCCATGTATGTGTAAAAACTTTAATTTTCTCCAGCTAACTTGCCTTATGTCATTTTTAATTCCTTGACCAGCCATAGGAACCACGACAGGAAAAGTAGAGAATTCTCCCTGTCCCCCTACAACTTCAATTTGTAAAAAATCTGCAAAGTACAATAAAATGAGATATGCCTTTAACACATGTTGTGACTTTGTTATATTAACATTTGTTAAGTTGAGCCCTGCGGGTATCCGATGGTGAGCCTGGGTTCAACAACAGTCCACAAAGGAATTGAAATAGAGAAGTTTGTTACTCACAGGTTCTGGAGAAGGTCCACAGGACACCTTGAGGGGCCACACCGGGAGGTGAAGGCAGAGGGCAGGCAGAGAGATGGCAGGACCTGGGGCGTATGTCCTTATTGGGGTCCGCAGGTAGGCTGCTTTGGGGTTCCCGGGCTAAGTCTGGATTGGGCAATTCAAACTAATTGAGGTTCTCGTAAGCTTTGCAGGGGTCTTATCTAAGGGACACACAGGGGGAAGGCCCTGGGAGGTGGGGAGAATGTTTCTCACAAGGGCAGTTGTGGGAGTCAGATCAGGAACTGACATTTACTCTGACTCTGCCGGTGGTTATCTAGGGTGTGCACTCTCGGGAGGGGCTGGTGTCACTTCAAGGTCCCTGCAGGCTGCTTGTCCACACAAAATGGATGCCAAGGCAGCAATGCTATGGAGCAGTTTAGTTAAACTCCCAAAAACTCTTTGATGAAAACACAGGAGTAAATCCTCACGACTGCAGATTAGGCAATTGTTTCTTTCTTTCTTTCTTTTCTTTCTTATTTTTATTGAGGTAACATTGCTTTATAACACTGTGTAGGGTTCAGGTGTATAACATTAGAATTAGACATCTGTATATACTACAGTGTGCTCACCACCAAAAGTGTAGTTTCCATCCACCACCATAAAATTGACCTCTTTACCCATTTCACTGTCCCTCAATGGTTTCTTAAATATGACATCAAATGTTCAAGCAACCTAAGAAAAATATACATAAATCGGATTTCATCAAAATAAGAACTTGTTTGCTCCAAAGGGTACGATCAAGAAAGTAAAAAGAGAATAATCCACAGGATGGGAGAAAATATTTGCAAATCATATATCTGATAACGGGATTTTGTCCAGAATTTATAAAGAACTCTTACAACTCAACAATAAAAAGATAAATAGCCCAATTTAAAAATGGACAAAGGATCTGAATAGACATTTCTGCAAAGAATATATTGTTGACATCATTAGCTGTTAGGGAAATGCAAATAAAAACTACAGTGAGACACACACCCCAGGGTGGCTACCGTCAAAAAGTCAGAGAAGAGCAAGTGTTGAAGATGATGTGGAGCGGCTGGAACCCTCACACACTGCTGACAGGAATACAAGTTGGAAGAGCTGATTTGGAAAACCACTGGGCAGTTCCTTAAAGTGCTAAACATGAAGTTACTGTATGGTCTAGTCATTCAGCCCCTAGGTATGTACCTAAGATGTGAAAACGTGTCCACACAAAAACTCGTATGTGAATATTCATAGCATCATTCTCATAGTAGCCCAAAAGTAGAAGCAATCCAAATGTCCATCAACTCATGATGGAAAAATAAAATGTGAAATATCCAGACAATGGAATAATATTTGTCCATAAGAATGAATAAAGTGGTGATACGACATGGTTGAATCTTGAGATCATTATGCTAAGTGAAAGAAGTCAGTTACAAAGACCATATATTGCGTGATGTCATTGATACGCAATGCCCAGAATAAGCAAATCCATAGAGACAGAGAGTAGATTAGTGGTGGTCAGGGGATGGGGGAGAGGGAGATGGGAAGTGACTGCTAATGGGTACAGAGGTTCTTTTTGGGGCGATGAAACTATCCTGAAATTAGATAGTGGTGATGGTTGCACAATGTGTGGCTATACTACAACCTACTGAAGTGTACATTTTCAGTTGGTGGGTATTATGGTATCTACTCTCCATTGATTACCATTGCCAAACTCTTTGTCCCTTGGATTGGCACTGCCCATAAAAACTTGTTCATAAAAATTTTATTCCTAACCATAAATACACTGGCAAATTCTACCACTCAAACTTAGCTCAACAACAACGATCCCTGGATTCCCTAGAGAGGGTTGTATTGGATAATCGAACGGCACTTGATTATCTGCTGGCAGAACAGGGTGGCATCTTGCAGTAGCCAACACTTCCTGCTGTACCTGCATCAACTCTTTTGGTGAAGTTGAGTTAGAACTTGGAAAAATTATAAAAATATCACAGGGTGTCTCCAGCCCAGTGTCTTTTAATGACACCCTCTGGTTCCCTATCAGTGTTTTCAGCTGCTTCCTTCAGGCACAGGTGCTTGGATGGGACCAGGACTTCAACTATTGTTTATTATTGGAATTTTACTCTGTGTACTTGTATTTAAGCTTCTTATGCTAATACTCACTCAGATCTGCTCCAGAACGTCTACAAACACCAAGATTATGGTCGCTCAACGTGTTGAACTGATAGGTAACAGTTATTCATCTGAACCTTCAGGTAACCAGGTGAAATTCCCAGGCAAGGAAACTGCCTAAGAATCATTCCTGACCAGCTCCTTGTTGCTCAAAAGTCGCCTAACCCTTATGACACTCACTCCTTGGAATAACCATTGGGTGAAAAAATAAAACTTTCCCCCTGAAATGGTACACGACTTTCCAGGACAGGTTCATTCAGCGATGTGTGACTAAACAAATCTTGGCTGATCAGTTATGCTTTCAGAGAAAGATCTTGATCAAAAGGGGATAAATGTGAAATGTGAGATCAAATGGAGTCACTTATGTCTAAGGACTTTAAAATGGAGCTGGGAAGCCATGAAGGAAATGGGTCTTATGCATGTCCTCAGGGAGCAGAACATGAACTTCTGAACTGAGTAACAATGCAAGAAACCTGCAGCTTGTCACAGTGACAGACTTTCGCCTGCTACTGGCTAGCCTTGGTAATCAATTGTTTTTAGCCAAGATTAGCTTTCTGATGACAACTTTATCAACATTCTTTATAATACAAATCTCCCTTCTGAGCCTTTAAGTCCTTGACTTTTACTTACTAGGGGGACACTATTTGGGTTTCTACCCGAATTTGTGCTCCCTGAATTGCAATTCTCTGATCCCCAAATAAGCGCCTATCACTTTGGCTTTTTATTTTTAGGCTAACGAGGTCAAGCATTACTCCCCCTCACTCCCCTTAATCACTGAGTCTACACATCACATATGACCCAGATGTCTCTATGTCCTTCTGCCTCCTGGAGTTCCCCTTTCTGTTAGTATCCAAATGAGATTGCTAAAATCAGCTCATTCATTTTCAGGTAGTCCAGGCTCTCTCCAGTTTCTGAGATCTTTTTGTGGGGGAGGGGGAATGGGGCAAAAGAAGTTTTACATTTCACCCAAGTCAGTCCTCATTGCTATCTTTTCCTCCACTTTTGTCTGTCTCCTGCAGCTTCTGTCCTCTCTGTCCCCATGCTGTCCCCTCCCCGAGTCTGCTATTCTCCCCAGGGCCAAATTCAGCCCAAACTCCAGCATTCAAAGCCCACCAGCATGCGGCCCCATATTAGCTCTCCACAGTCATCCTCACTACACCTCACCATGAACTGGTTTCCCAGCCCTTCCTTCTTCTTGTCCTCCAGCCCTGGCAATGGCAGTCACCTCTGTCCCCACCTGCTCCAGCCCTCACCAGACGTGCACCCTCGCCCAATTCCTGTAGCCTCTCTGCCCGAGGCTGACTGACTCCTTGTACTCAACACGTTGGGCCTCCGTGGGAGCGTCCCTATCTGGTTCTCCAAACACCACTCCCTGGAAGCCCCAGCTAACCCCCTGAGCCTTCTGACCCCCAGACCCCACTCTGAAATCTGCCAGACTAAGGGGGGAGGGGGAGCTGAAGAGTTGGTCCCACTGGATCCATGGGGAGCCGGGGCTGTGTGTGGGAGGTTGTGTTGCTGAAAGCCAGCCCATTTGACCTGCCACTGAGAACATTACCCCACGCACCCATTGGCCTAGCTGTGTAGGCAGGGTAAGAAATCCACATTTTGCATCTTTTTCCTAATTTTTACTTTATATTTATTACTATATTGATATATAATTTATATTTGTAAATTACTATACATAATATATTTATGTATTTATATTCTCTGTATTTAACTCCTTTTTGGGGCTGCCTGCTCTACGAAAATTCCAGCCCATTCAGGTCGTGCTTAGAAGAGCCACGAGAGGGGCTCTTTCCCCTGTAGGGTAAACACACACTCTCCTGTGGACCAGCAGCAGAAGTGGGGGAATTCTGGGGGTGGTAAACTGAGGGCATCAGTCACCCTTCGGGACCTTGGAAATTCTGTTCTTTCACCAAGGTGTGGGGTGTGGGTAATTCTTCGGCCTCCTGCAATGACCTCTTGGGGGGGTCTCCTGGCCCCATCCTCTCCTGCTGCCATATGCCCCCCAGTGGGCCAGTCCGACCAGCATCTGCTGCCTGCTGGCCTCCGCCCACCCAGGTGAGCCAAACCCTTTGTCCTGCCTTCGTCAGGCCAGCCCAGCCCAGAGCCGCCAGCGTCACCTTCTCCACCGCAGTCCACGTGCCGCGCTGGCTCCCACAACTCTCCCACGCCCGCCCTGCCCTCGTGCTGCTTGGAAACCTCGCGATACTTTCTTTAAGACCCGCTCTCCCGTCCCAAGTCTCCCGGAAGGCGGAAGTACCCCTCCCTCCCTCCTCGAACTTCCCAGCCACTTACTCCCGGGACGCAGCACTGGTCCACCCCGGGTGCGCTTGCAGGAGTCCGGTGACACGTCTGCCCCTGACAGACCCAGGCTTGGAGCTTCGTCCCAGCCCAGGACGCCGGCCTCGGCGGTGAGAGGGCGGCGCTGACAGCCCTCCACAGTGGCTGCGCTGCCGGCTGCAGAGCCTCTCACAGGCCCGGCCCTGTCCCTCCCGGCCGGTGCTGCTCGCGAGGAGCCCGCCTTTCACGGACGGACGGAGCTCGGGCGCCGAGAGCTGGCAGCGCGGCCTCCCCATCAGGGCTCCCCCAGCCCAGCCACCACCAGCCCCGCAGCTTCCCGCCGGCACGGCACCACACGTTCAACTTCCCGCCCAAAGGGAAGACCAATCAAAAGAGCGATTTCGCCGCTCAGGAAAATGGCCAATGGCTATTGGGGACCCTGTCTAGGGCCCGCCCCCCGAAGCGATCAGAGCCAATGGCCGTAGCGCGGGAGGTGAGCAAATCAGGACGCAGCGGGCTGCACTCGGGCACGTGGCGTTGGACCCGGAGGGGATGGGAGCGCGCGTGCGGCCGGCGGGGGTCTACGTGGCTCGGGGCGGCGGGGCCTTTTCCCTGACCTGCAGCGCCGGGACCGGGCGCCACCCAGGGCCGTGTCCCCGCAGCTTGGATCGG